CACCCCCGCTCCCACAACTCCGCCCGAGCTCCACTGCGCCTGTGCACCCGACGCAGACGCATTCCAACGATCGGGGCAGAAGAGCTTCCTGTTCCGACCCGCACTAGTTAGCAGACGGGCTAGTCGGGGCAAAAGGGCTTCCGGTTTGCCGGTAATTGGCAGCTGGGTGTAGGAGTAGACCATCTAGGTAGTGGGAGGATGCCAGATCAGCTGTTATTTGCTGACTAGACTGTAGTGGGTTGTAACGAGTGCCCAGACCCTGTGGGAGGTGTAAGAGAATCGCGCATTAACACACGCACACTCTTTGGAAGGCGCAGCCCTCAGCGTGTCCCTCTCCTCGGATCCTAATGGAGGTCTGTAGATCGCAGACCCCTCTGTTCTCCCGCTAAGGATGCTGACTATCTGCTCTGTGCTTTTGCCGGGCTTTACTCTTGACCTTTTTTTCCTTCCCTACTAAGTCATAACTTCTTTTGGGAGAAGAGCACAATGGAAAAGTCTCTCATCTCCATCCCACAGCACTTTTATGCGTTTTTTCACCGATAATCGTTCACCAAGTTCGACCGGGTAACATAGTTTTCGTAGAAGAGCTTTAGAGGTTTACAGCAAAGTAGAGAAAATACAGAACCATAACCTCTTATTTGTCAGAAGTAGTACTATAATATGATGTCAGATTACAATGGACTTGAGGAAAGTTTTAGATGAAATTTGGGCCTAGAGTAATTGTTGAAAAGCTTTTCAGTGCAGTGTCAGTTGGTGAAATTCCTTTGTTGTTTTTACCTTGAGCTGGTAAACATGATGGATTTTTATGTTTCTGACCTTTTTATCGGTACATTTATTGAATGAAAATTGAAGGATAAATTAAATTGCAACAAAATGCATTTAGGCAAGTATTTATATGACCTTTCTTGTTTTCTCTAATGTTTCCTCTAGTTCTTAAATTTCTGTCCTGTAGGTTTTTACAACAGCAGTAAAAAAATATCTGGGCCAATGATATTGAATAGATGAGGAATTTTTAAAAAGAGAAAGAAAAAGCACCCAGAAAAGACACAGCAACTTCAAAATATCCTGACATGAATGGCTCTATAAAACAATGAGTCCATATATACATATAGTCACGGGATGTGGAGTAGAGAGTGGGAATGGAGTCAATGGAATTGTAATAGATAAGTATGATATCAGGGGTGGGAGGGCAGTAGATGGGGGAGGGGGTTTCTGTATGAGGGGTGAAAAGGATAACTATTGCGTTATTCTGTACACCTGAAACTAACAATAAATATATATATATATATATATATATATATATATATATATATATATATATATATATAAACCAATGAGTCCTAGTTTTCCAGCTCATGCCTCCATAACCCAGCTTTTTCAAATACTTAGAAATTGCCTTCAAGAAAATGCTTATGGAAAATTTTCACCTAGAGGCGCATTTATTTTAGTGTAAATATTTATTGATTACAAAGCGGGACAAGACCTAAAAGAGCAAGTACCATGTGGCACCAGTTTCTAAGGTTCTTACATCCAATGCAGTCATTCCTACTGCAGTGCAAATCACAATACAAAATCCTTAGGAGAAATACAAAGAGTCAGTGCCACCTTCTGATTAGGTTTGAGGACAATTTTCATGCAAGATGTAGTTGTTCAGTAGGCATTGAGGATAAGTGGGCAGGTATGATAAGGCTGTGTAATCTATGGGAGCTCAGAGTTGGAAAAACATGAAACAGATTGTATGTAGACCCTAGAGTGTGGAAGGATGTATGGTGAGACAGGATATCTGAATGTCAAGCTCATAAATTTGTACTAAATTTTAGTTATGATGGAAACATTAAAATCTCAAATTAATTGATTCCAGAATATAAATTGATTAAAACTTTGAAAAATCAAAACAACTTTGGGTTACTTTGAAGTTGGTGTATGGTCAATAGAACACTGATGAAGGATTCTTGAAACCTGGTGCTGTGACAGCAAGTACATAATCATATCCAATAACTTCATTTTTAGGCTATATTTCTCACTTGTAAAAATAAGGGATTGGTCTAGATTATTTCTAAGGTCCTTTTCATAGGCAAAAATATCAATGATTTGATAAATCTATGACTTCAAGGAAAAGTTTTTTTCATTAACCTTACATGTTGTTTGGTCTCCCAACTGAATGGGCCAAAAGGTAAACTAGAAAACAAACAAACAAACAAAAAACTCTACTTAACTAATACAGATACCCACAAAGGTTTATTTGCCTTGTTGAAGTGAGTTGTTGTTAGACTAGTATTTTTGCCCAAGGGTTAATGACTAAGCCTTTAGTAAGCTTCTAAGAACCTTGGACTTGGATGCCTTACCCAAATTAAAAACACGCAGGAAAAACAAGTATGGAGATGGTCATCATCTTTGTAGCACTCGTCTCAATTTAAAATTATATATTATGGTAATTTAACTGTTTACTGTGTGTTTCCCCAACTAGATGGCAAACTTCACAAGGGCAGAAACCTTGTTTTGCTTTTCTCTTGAGGTTCAGTGCCAAGTGCCTGGGATGTGCCACATGCTCGGATGATAGCTGTTGAGGGATGAAGTAATTTAATAAATGACCCATTCTGTAATCTCAAGAAGGCAAAATTCCTTGACTTTTTGTGTCCCTCACTATATGTATCCCTACTTCAAAATAGCACAACAAAAACCGAAACCAAATAAGTAGGATTGTCTCTAGTGTTTGGGGCTCTACTATAGTCACAAAAGTATTTTTATGAAGCCTTCTTATATAACCAGTATTTATCCCGAAGTATCATAAAGAAATTTGCCTTAGAATCTGCACTGTCCAATATGGCAGGCACTAGCCACATATCATATGCAGATATTTAAATTAATTAGAATAAATAAATTAAAAATTCAGTTCTTCAGTCGCACTAGCCACATATCAACTGTGCAATAGCCCCACGTGGACATTTCTATCATCACATGAAGTTTTACTGGAAAGCACTGTATTAGATAATTTATATAAATTTAGCTTTCTAAAAAAAATAGTGGCAAGGTAAGAAAAAAAAATCAAGAAATAGAAGTGAAATGAAATCATTACCTACCAGCAATTTGTCCACCTAAAATTGATAAGGTCTTTTAGCATGTTGGAGACAGAACTATGTAATACAAAGGAACCCAGTGGTTTCAGTTTTACTTTAGGAAAAGTTTGAATTACGGTATTCTAAGCTTTCAGACCTGGTACCACCCTCTTCCAGAGGGATGTGTCAATTTCAAAAATCTGTTTGGTTTTTCAGCAAGAATCATGAGCAGGTGGCCTGTAGTCTACAGCATGTAATGTGGGCCAGGTTATAACGAAAAGCCCTCCTGCTGAAAACAAAAGTTTTTGTTGGAATATATGTTAGGTATCATCAAAGAGCTGAAAAAGTAAAGAGGGATTACCAGGCCAAAAATCTAAGGGAAAGTAGGACCTTAGAGAAGTAAGCAGATCAGGGAAGCCAGTCTTGCCCTGAAATCTTTTGCTGATTAGAAAATACCGAAACTCGGTTGTGATAAGCTTTTTAGACAAGAAGACACTACTCAACTTGGGAGTCAGAGGTCTCAAATTTAAAAGGTGGGCCCCAAAGAACAGCACCATTGGCATAAGGGTAATACGAAGTAATACCTTTACGTACCCACAGGAAGGAATGAGCCGAGCAGAGGGAAATGAAGAAAAATAAATAAGTACCTGGGGAAATGTAGCCACAAGCTGGCCCTCAGGCAAATTTATGTTCCAAATTCACCTCACCTCAGTAAATACAAAACCTTCATGTCTAATTTTATTTAAACTGGTCTTAGACTGATACAGTCCAAAATGCCTATGAAATAAACCCTTCTAAATGTTTTCTCCAAACTTGTGCAAATATCTAGCTCACATCTCATACAGCTGCAAGTTTCTTTAGTAACAGTCACCTTAACCAAGTTTCCATAGCTTTTATTTGTCATAAAAATAAAACTGCCCTTTTTATATTTTCATTTCATCAATTTATAAATTTTGTATTACATTATATAATTACAAGGACACAATTGGCAATAATCACAACAGACTGTTAGTGGGCACAATCTAATCGCTAGGCCAGAAGTGCCTGGGGCAGTTAGCCACGGGAGTGAAGCAGGCTGTATCAGGGAGTGAAGGCTTTCGTTTTACTGAGTATAGGATCTCCTTACATCCTTTGTCAATGCTGTCAGGTAGACAGGAGAGACTCACGGACAGGAAGGATTTGCCCAACGTTTACTAGTAGTTGCGTCAAAATAGAAATCAGATCTTTTGATTCCTAATCCAGTATTTTTTTTAAAAATACATCTAAGGACCATGTTTTAAATCTTTTAGATCATGTAAAAGAAATTTTTTCCATCATATTAATTTAACAAACTCTGAGGTAATGGAATATTCTTGGTATATCTGTAGACAAAGCCTTTATATCTTTCTTAGATATTCAATGTAAGTTATTTATCATTTTGTAACTCTCTACACAGAGGCCACCCACTATTGAGTAGTAGTTAAGAAATCTAAGTTGATTTCATAATAGGGATACTTATCTTCTTGGGTATAAACTCATTAAATGCTTTCTGCAATTACTGACCTGATTTTAGTTTTTAATCAGTGACAAACTCTATACCACATTCAAACAAATAAAAAATAAGAGGGTCAGGGGAATGATAAGGTACTTACAAATCAATCTAGTCACAAGCAGGCAGACTAACCCGAATTCTCATGGTTGCATTATTGCAACCGGTGATTATCAGTAAGAACAATGCTGGTTACAGAAAAAACAAAAACAAAACCCACATGGCCAAAGAGGGGGCATGGATAGGGAACAGGA